TCAAATTTCTCTTTTTTTTTACTGAAATACTTGTTTGATTTAAATGCAACTTAGAGACATGAGCCTATGTTATAAAAGAGATATTTTACTGTAACTTTTTCATTGTTTCTTTAATCATAAATACATAAACGGAACGCAGTGCCAACTTGCCTCTTGTGCCAACGAGCCCCGGTCTCCCCTACTGATAACAATACTAATCTTAATTTACTATCGGATGTAAAATTTGTTAATATGATGCTGACAAGTATGATCCTTCTAATCTGAATTTGGATAATATTAATATGATGAATATGAATTTGCAAGGATTAATAGTATTATTCTTATATTTTATTACATCTATACCGATGCAAATTTTATATATATATATATATATATTTATATTTATATTCTCTAATTGATTGTACATAAATATTATACTATTAATCCTTGCAAATTCAAATTCATCATATTAATACTATCAAAATTCAGATTAGAAGCCATACTTGTTAGCATCATATTAACAAATTTTACATCCGATAGCAAATTAAGATTAGTATTGTTATCAGTACTATTTATCATATAAAATATTTAAATAAATGAAGATTTTTTTTTTGTTAGCGAGGATTTGAAACAAAGTAAATATTTGAATATTAATAAAAGCTCTTTCTTGATTACAAAGGAACCGAAACTATATATATAATAGGCACTGAAATCATATATATAATAAATCCTTTTAATAAAAATAAATATATATATATAATATGTAATATATATTTATCGAACGGCATCTCCATCTCGACGATCTGACTTTTAAATATCATGTTTTAATGTCTGAATGCATGCTGTCCTCTTCCAAAATTTTCATCAATTCCAAAGTAGAAGCGATCGACTTCTAATCTTGATCATCCTTCAAGTATATAACAGAAAGTATAATAAGTATAAGTATTTCTGTATTAATAAGTATTTAAGTATTAGTATTTTTATATAAGTATTTCACACAACTTGACGTCCGACACGTCGCGGAATCTCCAAACTTGCATCGATAAAACTTGCCGCGATCGACTTCTCATCTTGATCATCCTTCAAGTATATAACAGAAAGTATAATAAGTATAAGTATTTAAGTATTAGTATTTTTATATAACTATTTCACACAACTTGACGTCCGATACGTCGCGGAATCTTCAAACTTGTATCGATAAAACTTGCCGCTTTAGGTATTTCCATCACTGACACTGGATCCATGTCGATCTCAGGAATATCCATTTCTTGGTCCAGATATACAATTTCGGATGATCTTTCTTCTTGTATAAATTCAAGCAAATTTCTCGCGCACACCACTAACCAAACTAACCATTAAATTAATCCCACATTTCACGCGACTGTCACACCTGACACCAGCTCACAAGGGAAGTTTGCGAACCCGAAAATTCAGAAAAATCTGACTCTTGGTGTAAAAGTAGAGCAGTTCATCCGTAGTATGAAACTATTTTTCGTTGGTGCTCAATTCCGTTTTAAAGGAATGAAACCATCCCTTGAAAAAAATCAGTT